GCGGAGTTCAAACAGAAGAAGGTGTTATCAGCTCAATCGCAGCTAAATGGAGAAATACTTAGAGATATCAAGGTGGCCACCACTACAGGAATACCTAAGGACTTACTAATATTAAGATGAAAGATGCATTTTTAGAATGTTAATCTCACCACAAAAGTGAACATGTTTAGTTTAGACAATACAACTGTATTATAGCATGTAACATATACTGGGTCACACAGCCACTCAACTTATTAAAACAGGAACTGTGCTGCCTAGGAAGGGTTTTAATACCCTTTCAAAATACCTCTTTTCCTAGTGATGTTACCTAGAGCAAGGATTAGAAACATGTAATGGGCAAAGTCTCCATTTCTTTATCCTTCACTCCATTTTCCAGTTATAGTATCTCCTTCTTAAATGGTAATGCCTATTCAGAGTTCTTTATTCTGTAGGCAGCGATTTTCTCCCTAACTGACTGTTTTTCTCTTTTTAACATGAGTTTCATGTGCTATTTTCTTGCCTGGTCAAGCAAAATTGTCAAGATCTTACTACACTTCTAGGTAATAAGCTTTACATTTGCTTATACTGAATGATTCTTCACCTTCAAATCATCACCTCTCTCTTCAGTTCCTTCTCCATATTGTTTATGTTAAATCATTATGCTAAATAAAAAAATCACTTTCTCAGTACGTTAAACAGCATAGTTCCCACACGCATTTTGGAGGAGAGAAGATAAGCAAGAGAGAAACCAGGACTGTGCCGGCAAATCTCCTTCCCTTATAAAACACAAGTATTTACTTTAATCCCGCATCTTCCGTATCTCTTCATCAGTTATTAATCTATGAGAAAACCCTCACCACCCTACCTGTAACAACGTTGTTCTTTTACGTAAGCAGAAACTGAGTGGGAAGTCTGTTGAGAGCTCCCGGCAAATTCGAGACATTAAATCAGATGAATCACCCTTATCCCCAGGCTTACTGACTCCTTAAAGATCTCTTTTCGCAGGACTCTTCAAAAAATCATGTTGATTGTTCCCACTGTATCATTTCCCCTTTAAAAAGGGAAAAAAGGAAGACCTGGGGAACTCCAGGCCAGTCAGTCTCACCTCTGTGCCTGGGAAGATCACGGAGCAGATCCTCCTGGAAGCCATGCTAAGGCACATGGAGGGCAGGGAGGTGATTCGAGACAGCCAGCATGGCTTCACCAAGGGCAAGTCCT